CTCTCTCTCTCTCTCTCTCTCTCTCTTTCTCTCTCTCTCTCTTTCTTTCTCTCTCTCTCTCTAAATGTTTCCCTTTGGGTTCTATAACTTTTGTTTCGAAAAACCTGTTCGCCGGAACGGGCATTTTCGCAGGCACCGATTCGCCGCACTACAAATATATCTCACTCTCTGTGTTTCCAGGAATACACGACGACATAAAATACGAAACGTTCAACAAGAACGACTGCAGCAAGAATTTGGAAATCAACAAGGGTAGAGTCGGGCTCTACTCAGGATGCAACTTTTGTTTGACTGTATATGCATCTTAGTGTAAAAAAACTGCAATATAATGAGAGTTTCTATTATATTCCTACTAAAATACACAAAAATTACACAATTTTTTCGTTTCTGCTGTATGGTTCCAAGAAAAAACTTAAGATGTACTTTGAGAAAACTTTAACTGAGTTAAGTATTACCTAATCTTGTGTAGTTACATTGAGAAAAAGATACTTGTAAAGAGAACGGTTAAGCTTTTATAAGCTTTTAGTGGCAGAATCTTTTTAGTGGCTTTATTTAGTGGCAGAATCTTAAATTATTTTTTTTTTATAAAACTGATGGGTAGACTAAAGAGAGAAAGATATCAAATAAGTATCAAAGTGATGTGTCCAAATAGATATGATGTCGAAACAAATAGGTATTGTTAAAAAACTTACAAGAAACTTAATACTTACGTATAAGAAATGTTGCAAGAAATGGGGGAGGGAGAGAGACAGAGATAAAAGTTCTTATCAATAAAATAATACGCATTACAAATACTAATAATACTTAATAATTTATGGTGACTTTTATCAAGCTCCGATTAACTTCATCGCCAATTAATAGGGCTACTCTTGGCGGTACTATTTATGTGAAATAAAGTTTATGCCCTGCAAATAAATCTTCAAGTAACCTTTTTTCTCAGTGTATTATTCCAGGAAAATACCTTGTCGACCCATAAGGGGTGATAATTTCTTTTCACGCGTATACGTCTCCATGTATCTTCGTACCAGAACGAATCGCGCACACAAGTCGGGAGACAGATCGCGCTGACGATAAGCGGGATAATCCGGTCTGATCGCACACACGGGCGGCGCAAGCGAGTTCCGCGATACAAAATCTTTTTTTTACACACTGCGATCGGCGTTAAAGCGCATCGGAACACCCGGCACGAACGATCGCGCGTTGCAAAGCGTGCGCGCGCGCGCGTGTGTGTATGTGTGTGTGTGTGTGTGTACCTGCAGCCGGCGTTTGTACGTACATCCAACGTCGACGCGGCGACATCGAGGTACTGGAGCCGGTGCGCAAGTCATGTGCGTAATGCGTGCGAATGCAACGAACCGGCTCGAGCGTGGAACGAGGAAGATGGATGCATCGGAGGGAACGATGCGGCGGCGGCGGCGGCGGCGGCGGCGGCGACGGTAGTGGCGATGGTGGCGGTGGTGGTGGGTAGCGACGGTGACGCTGGTGGGGAACAGGCTGGGAACGAAGGGGGAACGTCGCGCCGAACGGGAGGAAGAGGGTGAACAGCGGACTTCATTCACAGCGCCATGCGCCGCACCGTCCACGTTCTACTACGAGAGGTATTTGTGCTGTCGCGTTCGCAGGTTCGCCGACACCACCCGCGGATGTCTGTCGGCGGCCCGTACGTCTCACCGAACCGCTCCTCATCGGCCGCCAAGACTCGTCTACAGTACGCGCAGTAAAGCTCGATGAAAAATAAAAAGGTGTGGAGCAAGAAATAAAGATAATTTATTTCGATATACACTCCAACTCTCTGATTTTTCTCATATTTCTGGTGTGAGGGAGTTGGAGTGTTGGCACGCGTAAGCGAAATAAATTATCTTAATTTCTTGCTCCAAGTGTTTTTTTACGCCAAGCTTACTGCACGTCTGTCTTATACTGTCGCATAAACGAGCAATCACATCATATAGTTCGCTCGCGTGCCACTAGGCACGTGGATGCGATGATCAGAATGCCGCGGGAAATGTGGCAACACGATTGCCGAAATCAAATCATGCGACGTTAATCACATGTAGGAGATTGTATATTGTCGCTCGCGTCGTTTTGTTAGATCATATAGAGAAAGAGAGAGGGAGAAGGAGAGAGAGAGAGAGGGAAGGAGGGAGGGAGGAAGAGAGAGAAAGAGAGAAGCAGAGGGACAGCAGAGTAGATATTTACTTGGAGGAAAACGAAGATCTTTGCGATTTATTACCGCGAGATACCGCGGTTGTGTAACGATAAAACTCGAGAGACGCGGTACACGCAACAACCACCTTGAGCCGCATGAAGCACACGTAGACTTTTCGAATGTCATAACGTGGCGCAACGCGCGCACGGCGGTAGGTAAGTAAGTGGGTAGGCAGGTAGCCTGGCTAGAGGTGCAACCGGATGCGATCGATCGATGCACGGTAGAAAAACGCGTATATTTAATTGGATGGCAGAGTTGTTAGAGCAGAGAGAGTAACCACGTTGCAATATATATCGCGTGCGCGACCCTGATATCTCTTCTGCACAGAATGCGAGATACGATAAACGGTATCGTCCCGATAAATCGACCTTCTCTCGCGCCAACTAACAGAAAGACGAGACAAAAACTACGTTACAATCAAGGGCGATAGCGGAGCCGATGACACGATTCTCTCGTTCCCCGCGCGCGCGCGGGCGTTAAATCTCACGACGCCGACGAAGAGGACGCGGCGCGCTACGTTCGCTTATCTCGCTTCCTCGCGCGTCGTTCTTGTCGTTCGGTCGCCACGCCGTAGGGGCTGGCATCCTCTTTCTTTCTCTCCCTCTCTCTCCCTCTCTCTCCGTCTCTTCTACGAAGACGAAGTGGCGGCGGCGATGAAACTGAATGGGAGGAGATGGTCGATACACACTACCTCACACACACACACATACACACCATGCCCCGCCGCCACGCACGACGACACGGCGACGCGCTTCGTCTTGCCGTGGCTCGGCACGCTATCTCCGACCAATCGAAGACGAGGACGTCGCATGCTCGTTTTCAACCTACGCGCACCGTGTAGTACGTTCTCTCGATACACATTCGCGGGGTCTTCTCTCGTGTGTATTCGCGCATTCCTGCTCGCCGTCGGCGTTGTCGCACGGGCCCGCTGCCATCGTTACCCCGCCGCGGTCATTAAGTTTCAGACACCGGGGGCAGAGATCGTACTCTGATTCTTTCCGCCCTCTGCTCCCGCTGAGAGACCTTACACTTCTCAGGCACGCGACAATGCCACCGCCACTTGCCGCTGATTCAGACACGCCGACGTTTAACGCAATCAAGCGCGATACCGTTTTCTCACCGTCGTCGCCGTTCGCTACAACGATCGCTAACGCGCCGCTGATAAGAAAAAAGATTTTTGCCCGCTGTCTTTTCGCTTCTGCTTTGCTCATTGGCGTTCTCACCCACGCCTCCTCACGCCTCGCGCTCGACTACTGCCTTGTTATTCGTTACCGGTGATATCGTCGTCTAATATAGTCGGAGCGTGGTGTCCCGTCACGTTGCGCCGCCGTTGTCGTTCCCTGCACGATTGTGCACCCACACGGAGATAATATTACAGTTTCCTTTCGTACATTGAGAAAAAACTGACAACTTGTAACCGTAATCGCACGGGGAAATAGTCAATTATGGTCAAGATAATTATCTTTTCGTCAAATTTTACTATAGTGTCAGTGATAATAGCCTTGTATGCATGTTACTACTTTTATCCAATTTATTACAAAAAATATAGTTGAAGCTAAAAAGAACTGTAATTTTAGTTAAATCGACCAACTTTTTCTTCTCAGTATAGAATTTCTGTTCAATCTCATTGTGCTCTGGAATTGGCTACTAAAAGTCCATCTCGCCAGGGAACATAGTGAACTTCATCAGAAACAAAGCAAATTTTAGTTTCCCCGAAATAGAGAGAAGTAGCACATATGAAACGACAGACGCAATTACGGCAGCATGTCGATCTGTTCCTCCCGGTTACAAAATTCTCTGTAAGTAATTTTTACTGTGAAATTTTCTCCGTGTATGTGTGGTTTTCTCAGCGACGAACTAGATACGCGCGTCGGGATGTGAGGTGAATTATCATCTGACCGAGTTCGCATTTTAGCTCGCGACACGATTGTTTCTCCTGTTCCTGTTAATCCGACTCAAACAAAGTCCCAAGAGACAGCAAATAAAAACTAGCAAGCCTGGTCGGACCAACGTTAATTAACTTTGACGTTAGTTCGATGAATTCTCTTCGCGACGCCTTCCAGTTACAATGTATACATAATTATGTGATTCTCTATAGATAAATATTGATCGAAGCGAACATTAAGCTCTCTCCGCGAGAAAGCGAGAGAGATTGCAAAAATCAGAATGAGTGCATTCGATCTCGTCATTCGATCCGCACGTTATCAGCACGATATTCGGAGCAAGGACGCTCGTTTTGCGAGCCGAACGATCCACTTGTCGGCTGCTATCGATGCTTAGAGATATGTTTTTATCGAAATTAATTTAAATTGCACGAATATTTTCCGAAACATCGTACTAACGAGAATGTTTTGGAAAATACGCGCGCACACACACGTACGCGGCGCGCATGTGTGCACGCGTATCGAATGGCAGTAACCAGTTCTAATCTATAGTGCCGCGGCCGATAAAGACTAACGCAATGAGATATAACGTCGTTCTCGAGAAGCGACAAACACGGCTACCTTTATCACTGTCCAAACAATATTACGCATTTCACGTATGTGCCGAAAAAGAGAGCGTCACAACGACTTTCTGTACGAGCCGTGCCAGGCCCCGCGGCTTTGCAAAAACTGCACTGCAACGTGATATATTTTTCACGCGAGAGTGTATTTTATCCCCGTGTGATAGCGAGCTCTTTCGTTAAGCGCACGGCCGGTTTATTTCGAGACAAACGCGATCGTGTCGCGTTAGATGTAGCAGGAGACAATATTTATAACGTGGCTTGTGAAAGCGACCGGTGCAATTGCTAGATTTCGACGCGATAAACGCGCGAAAATAATTTCCCCTATTTCACGATAATAACGCGAGGTGCGTTTCGCTTGTTGCTGCATCCAATTGGAATTGCAAAAGCGAATCGAACTCGATAATTGTCGTTACGACGATGTGTATTTCACTGTGTATATTCTGTGTATATTCTGTGTATATTCTGTAGAATTAAAAATTGACTCGCCCGTCGATAATCACGTCGATTTCATTTCCTGACTTTTAGAGTTGCAATTTCCGTTGTGTACTCGATTGATTTCAAAAATATCACGGAAATAATACATTTATATTATATTGAATTCCCCGTGTATTTCTCTCCCTCTCTCGCTTTATCGTAGCTGAAAGCTCGACACATTTATTTATTTTTAGGTTTTTTCTTTTGTTTTGCCTCTTTTACTGCGGTTGCCCCGTTACGTTCCGAATGCGCAAAACATTGTGTGCTTCCAACGGTGTTACGAAAATAGCGACGTATCCCGGAGCGCACTGGAATGACGCAGCGTCAGCGGATAATTTTGACTTCTTCCCGTTCTCGCGCGCGACAGAAGCACGATTGTCCGATAAAAACACGGGGATTATATCACGGATTAATCACGCTTCGAGCGATGCCCTATACGCGATAAAACGACATTCCTCGCTAATACCCGGCTGTAGAAATCTAGCCCATGGTCTTGATCAGGTTGATCCTAATCAGTTAGCTCTTTTGTATAAGGCCATGTTGTCGGATCCTGCTAAGTCATGTAACGCAAAGTGGAAGTCAGGATATTTTTAATAATAAGGCTTATTAATAATTAGAATTCGATAATCTTATACGAACTAGATAACTGATTAGGATCAACCTGATCAGGAGCAAAGGTTAAAAGAGGGTATGACTTTTAGGCGATTTGGGGACCGCTAGATGAACG